TGTTTTTGGATTTTTTCAATGTTCACCTTTTCCGCATGTGAATGAATAGACTCATGTGCCCAAATAAACAATGAACTCGAAGCTTGAAATCTAAGTGCAATCATTCATGCAAACTATCTCACGTGCTCTTATACGTAGACTTCAAAGATTGCCCCATCGTGCATATCTTTTTTTTAAAATCAATGTGCAGATTTTGTTGGGCCCCATGTTTAGTTATGATTTGAAAAGTTTGCTAAAATTAACACATCAGATTAGGAGATAAACTGCTAATCATTTGTTTTGTATCCCTTCGAACTACACGCTTGTAAGACTTACGATACTCCCCTGATCTCTTAGTCTGTTATAATAATATTTTACCTTGCCCCCCCCCCCCCAAATTCGCAATTCTTTCCAAAACAATGAGCTTAAAAGTGCTGATGATTTGTTCAACATCCGAATACCACAAGTTACACATTTTATTTTCTGTTGATTTCTTGGTTGAAACGAGACTTAGCTCTTAACTGAATTGAAGCAATAACCCGGTAAAAATATTTCCAAGGAATGGATGGGACTCAAACTCACAATCTATTGAGATAAAATCTAAAAGGCTAGTGCAAATCTGTAACAATGATGAGTGTTAGGCAGAACGTAAAGAGAAAAAAAAAACTAGTAGATCAAAAATACAATTAATTAATTATTATAGTCACACCTCATCTACACCACCATTTAGTCAGCATCATGGTACATTTAATTAACTTCACATCTTAAAATTTTAACGCCTGGGTGTATGATACGCCTTTGGGAAGCGGAGAGGGGTGGTGTTGGGGTTGGGGTAAAGGGGAAGGGGGGGGGGGGGCAAGTATTTCTTGGGCTCTTTGTTCTTTTTGGTAATTTCGAGATTATTATTTTTTTTACTATTCTTTTCCCGTTGTTGATCATGATTACACTGCATTTACTGGGAGGTGTTCTGTTTCTGTTGTTTAAAATTACGTGACATGGAACGTGTTCACTTCGCTGATGATATTAAAGGTATAACGACATCTAAGATTCTCAACACAGAATATCACTTGAACATGGAAACAAGGTTTTGTACGACGGAACAATATATGAATATCTAGATACATGAGTACAATTTATTGTTATGGAAATGAGTAAGTTAATTGTTCATCTCTTTTCTTTTTTGATATAATTTAGATTTTGTTCGTTCGTTTGTTTGTTGGGTTGTTTGTTTTTTGTTTGTTTTTTCAGAGGGAGGGGGGAGTTTATTTGTTTGTTTTCGTTTTCATTTTTATTTTTGTTGTTGTTTTAGGTGGGATGTGTGTATATGTGTGTGTTGTTGGTTTGGTTTGGGTTTTTATGGGGGTGGGGGTGTTATCTTTTCTACGTTGTAGAGTAAGTGGTTTATTGATGTTTTGCTTATAATTCATACACATGTATTTATATATAATATGCCATATAATAATTTACCACACATATATTACACATAGTTCATTTATAAACACACTCACCCATAAATACACATATTTTATTATTTAATAGATAGATAGATA